GTGGCATTTCGTCCGCACGCATTTTTCAGGGCAATCTCTATTGGGCTCAGGGCCATCTGTAAATTAGCTTAGATGGCCCACAGGGCCATCTCCCAAAATCCTTAATGTCATGCACTGTGTACTACAGCGTCTCCAGCGCTTTCGAATGGCAATGGCCGTGGCTGTCTCCTCCTGATAGGTGGAGAGTTGCCCATATAGGCGGAGCTCCTCGTTTCTGACGTCAGAGATATTTCAAATCTGGATCAGTCTGTATCAAATCCGTTGCAGCCCCGTTTTTACAAAGTGTAAACTCAATGCCACATGGAAAACAGATAACAGATAACTCACACTTGTCCTTCACTTTTATTTATGAAACACCCCGACCCCAAAAATAGATAGTTGTGTGAATAAAAGAGGAACTTGTTCACTAACAGTACCCCCCCCGCCCCGCTTTCATAATACAGTCAGTCAGGGCGTGAGACCCCGCTGCTCAGGGAACATTAAAATACATAACAGTGCGTTCAATGCAAAGTCAGTTACATCAGTGCATGACTGAGGTCAAATACAATGATTCAAAATGAAATTCAGATTTAACACAACAGCCGTCAGAAACACACAGACTTTCCAAACAGAACACTTGACCCCCGAGTGCAGACAGCATCCAGCTCTGTCAGGGGACGTCCCACAGACCACCCACACAGAGCAACGCTCCTCATACATAAATATGACTGAATATGAATCAGATGGTTTGTGTGTGTGTGTGTGTGTGTGTGTGCTGAGCTGGCGATCAGGGAGGAGTGTAATGCTCCTGGCTGTATGCATAAAGTCTCAGAACAGTCTCATTGGTGAACAATAACTATTCTCTCTACACTTTAATACTACACTAAATCTCTGATTTCAAAATTTTGATTTTTATCAATTACGCCAATTAAGGAAAAAGGAGCAACAGATCAGAACACTGAAGCACAGCATGAAGAGACATCCAGAAATGATGACAAATGATGAGAATCATTAGGAATGGCCTTCAGTCAGCTGATCAGCTGTGGGACATTTTAAAGCAACGTCTTTGTTAAGCTCCGTCTCACGCACCCACCAATTCAGTTTCTTTTAAAATCTCTTCTTAAAAGCCCAGTGAGTAGGATCCTAAACTCAATGTTGTCCTATGGCTTCTTCCTACCAGTTTTTTTTTTTTTTTTAATCTGTTGATGACATTTTTGCCTTTTCTTTGACTTTGTTACTATTTGAAAGGCCAAACAGAGAGACCCTACTGGCCCACGATTTCTTTGTTATGGAGTCGGAGACAGAAAGTACATCAGTTAAGACCGCCAGTATTCTTCTTAAAAATGTCAAGATAAATTAAACATGCATCTAAGCAGCTCACACACTGATGGGAGGAGTTACACATCGTACTGATTTCAAACAGCTGGTCTTTAAAGCCCGGGCAGGAAGTCAATCACTGCTGCTTTATGTCAGGTTTAGCTGATAGAGGGCCAGCAGCCAGGATGTACCACAGCTCAGAATATCAGAATACACACTCAGTAGCCCCCTCATCAGGTACATCTTCGTGTGTATGTCATCATCAGTCCGTCACCAATCATGTGAAAGCAACTCAATGCACACAACAGGCCTAGTTGTTGTTCACCCCATGAGTCTGGATTTTGCTCCATCACAATACAGTCTCTAGTTGTAGGAGATTTTGTTACTAAGTGTTTATTTAAAATATTAACTTTTGCATTTTATTAAATCAGGTCTGACATCTCAAATCAAAGCTCAGTAAACCAGTGAGAGAAAAACTTCTCTGAGCTGTTCTGAAAGACTGTATGGATACAGTACAGGAGCAGGATGTAGGGGGGGGGGGGGNGGGGGTTGCAGCAGAGCCTGGAGTTTGGATTTTGGCCCCCTGCTGGGCTCTTCAGTCGTTGATCAGAGCCAGGATCATGCTGCAATAAAAGCGGGGAGATGTGTTAATACAGAAGTGACGGCTGTAGGTGTTGAACATGTCATTACATGTTGTGTGCTTGCATGTGTGTGCATGTGTGTGATTGCGTGTGTGTGTGTGTGTGTGTGTGTGTGTGCGCGCGCGCACGTGCGTGTGTGATCTCACCTATACAAGTAGATGAAGAAGCAGAGCAGGTGGTACCCCAGTTTGATCATGGCCTCCTTCATGTGGGACTTGAGCTGCCCTCGGTTGTGGATCTCAGTGGGGTCAAACACGCCCATGTTTCCCATGGGAACCTTCACGTACCTGCAGGGAACAGAGGAGAGCGTGTCATATACATTTATTCAAATATATGCAAAGCTCAGACTTCATGTATATAATATAAATATCTCTACAAGAACTATGTCTGCTGGAAAAAGACGTCCTCAAACTGAACTGTGACAAAACTGAAATGGTCATCCTCGGCCCAAACTCACTTACCACTCAGGATTAACTGAACATTGACCATTCACTCACATATTTAACCTTGGCATCGTCCTTGACCCCACCCTCCCCTTCCTCACAAAAACGGACTTCTTCCACCTAAAGTACATTGCCTATATCGATCCTCCCCCTTCTTCACTACCGATAAAACTGATTCATGCATTCTTTACATCTAGACTTGATTACTGCAACAGCATTCTCTATGATTCACCTGCTAAAAAAACTTCTAAAAATGTCAATATGTCCAAAGCTCGACCTCTGACAACATCATCTCTATTCTCCATTGTCTCACTATATATTGTCATTTTAGCAAACCGTACAGACAGATGACAATGCAGATAATAATTGTAAGCGTCTTTGAGCATTAGGCAAAGCGCTATACAAATCCCATGTATTATTATTATTATAATAGTATGAGCGTACCTATAAATGTTCCAGACTGCTACAGGCAGGTTGAGCAGGAAGACGAACCAGTGCATGGAGACCAGCATCAGCATGGTGGAGAGACACTGGCCCACCATCTCTGGAATTACCCACTGGAGACACAAAATGTCAAACATACAAACATCAAAATCATACATCAGCATTTCATCAAAATAAATAAAATGGCACTACAAACAAAATACATCATAAAATAAAAAATAACCATCTAACGTGACTCACTTTGTTCAGCTTGGAGCAGCAGGCTCTGGCGTTGATGTAGTCACATTCTAGATCAGACAGGGTGATGATCTGAGCTGTCAGTCAAGGGGCCTCCAGCTGTCAATCACAACCTTATAGTGCTGAATGTTTTCTGTTAACGCTCTCTTTCCCTGCTTCTATCGGCTCCATTTAACTGGACAATAAAGACACACAGTGCAGCTCCTTCAGTTACAGGCTGCTTCACCTGAGGCCTGTACGACGAAGCAGGTTCAACATAACCTGGATATGTTTGAGTTAGCCGGTTGGCCTAATCCAAAATATATGCGCTCTCGCTAAGCGGTCCTACGACGCGGGTTATCAAGTGGATCGCTCAAGCCAGCCGTGTCCTATCTAGTTAGGTGCACACATAGTTCTGATTGGTCAGCAGGCGGTGCTTTCACTGACTTGATCTCTTAGGCCCGGACACACCAATCTGACAACAAAGAACTGACACAGACGGACCCCGACTGTTGCGTCGCCTCGCGTCTCGGCCATGTGTCGCACTGGAACACACCGCAAAGACTTCAGCTGACGGCCAAGAAGTACGTAGGAACTATGCATGCGTGAGTGGCAATAACTCTCCTTACCAGCAGGCGGCGGTAGTGTGTATTCGTCTTTCAAAAGAGGCAACAACCGGAAGACAAACTGCGTGATAACCGAGAGAAGAAGAATAGACTGCGTGATATAAACAAACAACAAATAGCGTGTGCGTTCCATTTTCACTCTACAGCGAGAAGCTCATGGGGCTTTCCCGAACCTGTGTCGAGAGCTAAAATTAAATCTCAGATTTGCTTTCTTAATAGTTTGTTTGGGTCCCTCACTTCCGTTTTACTTCTCATGCACTGATTCGCTAGCTGAACACCCAATCACAGTGATTTATTTTGCCGACCGCCCGCCGATTCAACATGTTTCGGCCGAAAAGGCGTCGGCCCGGCTGAAAAGACCCGACGGTGCGGGACACACCAATCTGAGTAGGGCGTGTCGACGCTCATCGTCGGCCTGACGCCCACCGACGCCGATTATCGGCCTGGTGTGTCCGTGCCTTTTGCCTGCAACCTAACCTGCTCCGGACCAGGGGCCTATACTACGAATCTAGTTCAACATATCCTGGGATGTTTTGAGTTATCCGGTTGACTTAATCCAAAACAAACCCGCTCTCGCTAAACTGTCCTACGACGCTGGCTATCAACTCGATCGCTCAAGCCAGCCGTGTCCTATCTAGTTAGGTGCGCGTTCACATAAAATGGGTGGTATTTGGAGCATTCGACCAATCACAAACATGGAGAAGCGTACTGACAGCGCAGCGTCATACTTCCTGAATGAAAAGTCAACTATAATATTAGTCAAATATGAAGAAGTTAAACTTTAAACATCCATGACTTAAACACTTTATCCAGGATAAAAGCCACATAGCTGCACCTGCAAGGTGAATACAGCCGGTAAAAGAAAAAGTGTTTGAATGCGTACATTAACAGGTTTATGATATCACTGCCCCGTCTAAGACACGAGTGGATCTGACTTTAATTACATTTGACTCAAGTGTTTCGTCAGCTTAATGTGTTGCTTAAAATAATACTTCTGCTTACAGTATGTGACACTGCGAGTGTTGCACGGCCAGATATGGCTCAGCTGACTCAGATGAGGAAATATATGATTATGATGTGATATGAATGATAATGGGACACATCGACGTCTGCACTCACAGTGCCGCGGACTGTAGGCTACATAATAATGTTACTTTGATCCGGTTACTTATGTTGTGGCAGATATTTAATTAAGCTTCCTTAACATAATAGTATAATAATAGTATAATAGCCAGATTGCTCTGAAGATGGGAGGTGATATTCTATTCATTTTCACGATCACACAGTTGGTGATTTTGGCCGGCCGTCTTTCCTGCAACGGCAGGTTAAACTGTATTTCCTCTATCCTGTAATATGACTTGATCGCTTTAAACTCTGCACACTGAG